CGAGTCTCTCCACCGATCAATGAACGGGCGGGATCCAACAGTCATTTTGACAACCCAAGAGGTCCAACGAGTCGAGAGATCCACGGCGAGCCAAGAGTTCCAGTGTTGGATCTTTCCAGTCTCTCCACCGATCAATGAACGGGCGGGATCCAACAGTCATTTTGACAACCAAGAGGTCCAACGAGTGGAGAGATCCACGGCGAGTCAAGAGGTCCAACGTTGGATCTTTCTTTGGATCTTTGGATCCGCGAGACACCCCGTGATCTTCGGAGACGAGCACTGTTCCCGCCGCCGGGTCGAAGCCAAAAAAAACAAAGAGTGTCGAAGGCCGGTCGAGGTCGCGTCGGCCTTTCGGACAAAAGGCGGCGGCTTTGCCGAGGAAATTCCGGGGCTCCCGCCGTCGACGCCGACCGGAGGGAGGGAAGGGCGTCGCGGCGACGCTCTGGCGCCAGCCTCCAAGGCCGCCGACGCTGCCAACGCTCACGTGCACTCGTCACGCGCAACGCGCAAGGACGTTCAACCGCCACGAGCGACGCCGCAGCCACTCTCCGGCTGAGAGGCACGCGCTGGTGCATGCATGCTCTACCGCTCGTTTCTGGCCTACGGCGAGAGATGGCGCTACGAGGCCTAGTCTCTCTTTTTTTCCTTCTGCAGCGGAGATAGTAGTCGTGTGCGCGCCGACGGGTTTTCCGCGACGTTCAAAGTCAGAGTAGACATTTTTTTGTTTTCTTTTATTTCTCCAGAGTGCTCAGAACAAAATGATGACCGCGCTCTCTTCTGGGCCCTTCCCGCGGTCATCGGGAGAACCCCCTTGTGTACTTTGTGGTTCCCCGCTCTGTTTGGGGGACTTCTCAAGTACATACTTTTCTTCATTCTTTTTTTTTTTCCTAGGGCGGCGGAGAATTCCCGGTCTGATATGTGTCACGGTCGGGGGTTTATACAGGATTGTCATTCTGGCTTGCCGGGGGGGGGGGGGGGGGGGGGGGGGGGGCGGCGAACACATTTTTGGGCGAGGTTCCGGGGCGTGTTTACCGTAACATCAGACTAGTACGGGACGCATCACAACTAATCAAATTACTTGGAATCGATTAGTTTTTTAGAGAAAGTTTGTAATCGTTTGATTGTATTTATTAAAAAGTAATCGCGAGAGTAAGCTTTTTTTTTTTTTTGTAAGTACTAAAATTATGTAACTGTTACCTCTTCCTGTTTCCCTTTCTCGTGACGACCTTTATTTCTAAAGGTTTCCTTGCAAGGAGCCTTCGAATCAAGTCTCAAAAAGCTGGATCGTTTATCAAAATTGGTAGATTTAGAAGATGAGTAGTTTGTAATTCGGTGTTTCCAATCAAGCAATGAACAGTGAGAAATATCCACCGTTTCCAAACCGACAGAACAATCGATCGTTTTGAAAATCTGTTTTGAAGACCGTTTTGGGAAGAAGAGAAGTAAAAGATTGTCATTGTATTAAAATAAAAAAGATCTTACCATTTTACATACACTTTGATGAACAGGAGTCGACAGAAAGGGTTCGGTTCAAAATAAAGTTTGACAACATATTTCTTGCAGTGGTTGTCCTTTACAGACCTCCAGGTAGTTATGTATCTTTCTTAGTAAACGTAAAAAAACTATATATTGTCTCATGTGCATAGTAACGACAAAAATGCTTTTGCGAGAGATTTCAATCTTCTTCGTATAGACAAACTCAACTCTCTGACGTCACACCGATGCGGTGGCGCTGCTGTAGGCACTGCGCATGCGCAGATGCTTCGCCTCGAGCGAATCTGGTTTCTGCGCGCGCGTAGTGCCCTCACCCGGTGGGCAAACGCGGCCTTGTTTGTAAACAGTGTTGGTCGATAAGTTGTAATTTATTGTCTGCAGAATCATCTGATCTTAAAAACGCTGAGTGTTTATTAGACATCGCATTTATATTTTATTTGAAACAACTTGTTCTGTCACCCACACGAATTCAAGGCGAAGCAAGATCAATACTTCACCTAGTCTTGGTTAATCACGAACTATCTGAATCTGCACGGCTATCTATCGAAGAAGGCCTAAGTGACCATAAACGTTTGCCCCTTAGAGTACCGCTAAAAATAACCCTGTTAATCTCTGAAAAAAAAAAGTTTTTGACATTGATAAGGCGGACGACAACCATGGACTCGACGCGCTATATAGGAAAGATATAACGAATTTGGCCTCGCTCCAATAACCCGTTTACGTATAGAAATACGTTTTGGGGCTAAATTTAAAATCGTTATAAGCGACTGCATTCACCGCTTTGTACCTACAAGGATAATAAAAGCAGGTAGCACAAATTCTTCAATATCCCGAGAAATAATACACATAGGCAGAACAATTAGTTGATTAAGAAAATCGATAAAAAAAAGGCGCCCTCATTCAAGAAGTCCGCCACTTTAAAATGCCTCGTCGCGGAACAAAAGACTAAAATTAAAGAGTCCAAGTTCCAATATCATCATGTAATACTTTCAAACTTCATTTGGACCGCACCAGGGAAGTTTTGGCGTCGTATTTCCCCAACACGTATTACTCCCAAATTATTTCTGGTCAACAGTGTTCTAGATCAGAATTGTAAGATAATAACAGGCTTTTCTTTTTTTTAAGTATATGTTAGCTCAGTATTTTTTTTTCTATCAATAACTAAAAAAATTATGTTTTTTTTTTCTTTTTTTTTATCCGAATAACGACTCTTACGTAAGTGACCTTGTGATTTCAGAAGATGTCCTCAATTTATTGGTTAATTTATATCACAAACTATCTCAAGGTCCCGATATGTTACTGAATTTGTTTCTAAAGAGATATGCTCTATGGGTAGCTAAATACTTGCGTACAATCCGTAAGAAATCACTGACCGATGCGGATTTTCCAAATGACTGGAAAGTTGCTAATATACAACCAATTCATAAAAAGGGTAATGAAAAGGAGCTGTTCAACTATCGTCCCCTTTCAATAACTCCTCAGTGCTGCAAAATTCTTGAACATATATTTGCAAAACACATTACTACTTTTCTATAAACGCATAAAATAAAGAGTCCCCACGAGCATGGGTGTAGGAGCTATTCCACTACAACCCAGCCATTGCTTACTGTTCACGACTTTGCTTTCGCACTCATGGAAAATAAACAAGTTAACGTCATATTCTCAGATCTGGCAAAGGCTTTCGATACAATCTCACGCAGTAAGTTCTTATACAGTCTTACTGCTATCTTAAAAAATTAAAAAAATTATAAATTCACTGAAAGAGTATCTAACCCATAGACAATTCGTTTGTTGTTTGTTTTTGTTTTGGGGGAGGGGGGAAAGGGGATCCTTTATTTATTTCACATATCACTTCACATTACTAAAACGTTATATGCATGCTTAATGTTCTGTGGACAGTTAATTAATTATTCCTTGAAATTTAAGACTTTTTTTAAATTGTACGCTTAATTGAAGTTATATTTAAACTTTTTAAGCGTTTCACTTCCATTTATTAAAAAAAATGTATCGTATATATTATTTTTTTTATTTTTTTAGAGAATGACGTACATCGTCGGATTTTCTCGAAGATTTGCCGAATCGGTCAAACCTCAGGTTTGGCAAGAGTTCGGGACATCCGAAATCGGGTCGTCTTCGCGTTTTGTTGACCCAGTGTTGGCCGTAACGGGCTTCGCGTAACGGCGTCACCGGTAACGAGTTCCTTTCTTCATATAACGAAGTAACGTACTCGTTACATTAAAAAAAACAGCAACTAATAACGTACTTTAAATAAAAAAGTAGCGTGCGTTACTTTTTTTCCTCCAGTAACAGTAACGTGTCCTTTTATTTTGAAACCACGTAGATCGGTAACGACTCGCTGCATCACACAAGGTAACGCACCTCGTGACTTTATTTATTTATTTATTCTTCACCGATCCCGCGTCGATTACAAACGCTTTGCGCCGCGAACGTACTCTGTAATAGCGGGTTCCGTACGATGACTCTCATATCCGCACAAGGCGGTCAACAAGGCGTCAGCTATTTCGGTCCTTGCGTCCCGGAGATGCAACGGGAAGCGAGCGTCTTCATTTCCGCCGCTTCCTGGTCGCCCGCTCTTTTGAGTGCCCGCTGCGCTCATCTTCGTGTGATCCAGCGAGTCGTTGGATGCCAGCCAACGGTGTCGCCTGGCTTGTTCAAGGCACCGCGGGGGAGAGAGCGCGGATCCGCTAGGAAAAAGCGTCGGTCACATCCGGTGCCATGAATGAATCGCCAAACCGAAACGCAGATTCGAGCGTTACGCGTTACAAGTTAGTGCTGACTCATCACTTTCTTTTCGGTACCAAAACAACAACTTCATTAACTTTTTTTTTCTGCTAGCAAGAACGAGCAAAATATATTGGTTGGTTGCTTTCTGACCGAGTAAAACAAACGATTTGTTTTTCTTTTTTTTTAGGACACAAGCACATTATTAATTTTGTTCAAACCCAGAAGTAACAAGATGGCATCTCCTTCCGATTGTCCTTGCAGCGATTTGATTTGTTATTCGTACCGCATTTGCATTTTGTAGCCTTCCTTCGGCCACTTTTTAACTCGAACTCTTCGAAGTAACTCCTTACTTTTAGAGTTACGTTTTTAATGCGTTTCTTAGATTGAGGCGTTCTTTGAATAACGCGTTACTTCCAGTAACGAGTTTTTTTTTAGGACTCGCCGACGGCGAGTAAGTTACTCTTTTGCTATTTGCCCAAGCAACAAGTTCCGCATGTAGTAGTGACTGTTCGAACTAGTAACGAGTAATGGCACCTGGTTACTCGTTGAAAACGTGTACTAGATGACTGGCCAGAACTCATTTCTTGCTGAACGACGTCCCGTCCAAAGCTGTCACTAAAGACTTCGCAGACGATAGCATCCAGATGACGTTCGCAGACACAGAGCTCCATCAGCAAGATCTTAATCCTGTTGTGAGCGCCGTTTCGCCAGGGGGCGGCGGGAACTTGAACCTTTTGCTGACATCGTTGAAACGCCGTGTGACAGAAGGCGTGGAAGGTCTTCTGCGAGAGATTCCGAACCCGCACTTGTAGACAGCGCCCGAAAGGATGAAGGTCCTGGTGATGGTCGCGCTCCTGGCTGCGCTTGTCTACAGGACGTCCTCCGCTGACATGTGCGGTACGTCCGCCATATTCGAGGAGTTGGTTTCATTCTCGTGGACAAGTCACTACGGCAGGCCAAAGCCACGGACATACGTGGCATACGTGCGCATACGCGTCTTATGCACCGATCAAAGTTTCTGAGGGTGCCTCTTCGTAGACTGCCACAGATTGTTGTGTCCCGGTGGTTTGTGATTAGTGAGGGGTGGGAGGTTATGGACAGGGCGCTCACTTTGTTTCGATTGAGGTGATGTAAACACTCGGAGGATCGAAACGATGGGAGGAGTTTTGATTGTGATAGATAGAACAGCTCTCCTCTTATTTGACCAAATTTCGCGTCGCATAGCTTCTGGCTATGGGATTCGCAGGACGTAAGATCGGTACTCTTGTAAACTCGTGGTTCTCTTTAACTCTAGATAGAAAGAAAGAAGAGTAAATGCAGATACTGGAGAGTTATCGCATTTGTATTTCGGCCTCAAATTGAGATGAGTGACATAGCGATGGAAATCACGAATGAAGAAGTGAGAGATCGTGGTGTGGTTCCTGTTCTAGATGTCCTGAGTCAGGACCCCACTAGAGTCGAGATGATCTACGTGTGTATCGAGGCCCTGGCTTCACCGAAGGTGAGTAGGGCTGCCAACCCACGGCAACCGTTTTGTGTTGTGTTCATTATTTTCAAATCGGCACTAAAATTAAAAAAAAAAAATAAGAATAAAACATTTTGACGTATGTGAGTTCGCCTTGCTGCAGAACATGGAGGCAGTCAATCATGGCGAACAGCATCATGATAACTGCGAACGACGAAGCACAGAACACGATCGTACAGAAACAAGTGCGGCGTGTGCACAGACAATGAACACATGCCATTTCACTTCTTCACATTACTCCCTGCGCACGTCGCATGTTTCCACTGTCGAATCGTGTTCGGCACTTTGTCATTCGCTTAGACCCATGGTACTGTTCGCCGTGATTGGCCAACATCGCCTAGAAAAATCAAATCCTGTGCACTAGAATTTTGACGTCATAGCAGTCAGATCGAGCGAAGACGCGGATTGGTCACAAGTGCTTCGTCATCAGCGTTCGGCTGATGTGATTCAATGGCTGAATTGGCTCCAGCCTACTTTGATGACGTATAATCGACGAAGAGGTGGTCGGTCCCGGGCCTTCATTATACTCTAGGTGGTGTTGTATTGACCGTCTCCGTGTTCTAGATCAAAGCAAACTCACAGACTATTTTTTTTTTATTTTTTTTTAGGTGACGCGTTTTCTTTTGCTTGTTTCTAAGTTTTCACCTCTTTCATATCCTCTCTTTCTGGTGTTTGCTCCCTCTCGGTCTAGGAGCGGAGGGGATCTTCTGCCTTGCAGAAGAGACTCCATTTTCTGCGTCAAAGTAGATCGAGTTTGTACGCGACATATCCTGTATGTTCGACCGGGTCTAATGGGTGATTCCTTGCTCACCAATAGCTCGTTATTGTTCTTTTATATTTAAAGCTTGTGCTTCAAGGAGCTCGTGTCGCGTAAAAGCCGGCGTCGGCGGGACGGGATAATCCTGATTGGTCGACAGGGTCATGACGTCGAAGCGACATGACCTCGCGCCGGAGTTTCGAACCACCTACAACGCTCACGAGAAACGTGACGTCACGCTTGGAATGAAAGTGATGAAAACGCGACATGTAACGCGAAGTAAAGGTCGCCGTATGTCTCAAATGATTTCTCTTTATAGAGTAATTAACATTCCTTAAAGAAAATAATTTAAGAACTTTAGGCGGAGGCGGGATTCGAACCCACGACCCTTCGTTTGCTAGCCAGACACGCTACCGACACGATTGCACTGCTTGGGAACGAGCGAGGCTCATAAATGCGAAATTTAAGCGTCGTACTGTATTTTTTTTTTCTAAAGCCGCGGTCAAACTGTTTATACAACATACAAACGACAGCCTGCAACCACTGTCTGTAGCGCGTGTTTCTTTGTGTTACGGTCCTGAGGTATTGTTCGTACAAAAACTGTTTGCAGACAGATTGAAAACATAATTGACGCGCGTGTCCGCGATAGTTCTGTATTCATGTCTGCCGTTTTTGTATGCTATATGAGCAGTACTGTGAGCCCTGTTTTAACTGCTTATACTGCTTATACATCATTCAAAAGACAGTCTACATACAGATTCGAACGCGAGTCACCGCGAGATCCGTGCTTCGAAGGCCTCATGGAAACCAGTTCACAGAGGAAACTTGGCTCGCGGCATTCGAACCAGGGACATTGTGGTGACTCGTGTTTGGAGGCTGTCTTTTGTTTGATCTATGACCAGTTAACCCCGGCTGTTGGGGTGTCTATGGCGTCCTATGATGAGGAGTTTGGTATGAAAAACTTTGGTTGCAGTGGCCTTGAGATTCGATCAACGTGTCTTCTAGGGCGAATTAAGTGACATGCAAATTGTTCTCGTTCACAGCTCAAGACCGAGATCTACCACAGGATCAAAACGTATTATCCGTGCGACAAGACGTACGTCTGCTTCGTTCGTATAGCTTGCTTGAACCCGCCCTATGTAAGTTTTTTTTTTTACTTTTGTATATTTGATCTTGAAAAAACTGTGCGCAAACTATGTTTTTATTACTCTAAAAAAAGAAAGCTACAAAACTGCTGCGATACTGGTTCCAGATCAGTTAGCGAAATATATATATATAACTCCCCCCACCCTTCACCGTTTCGATCTGGATGAGCATCGTACCGGGCTGCTGTCGTGTATTAACTGCCCGTTTGCTAGCAGCCGTACTGAGATGGCGAAAGTTCTCATTTACAGCGTCGATACCAGACGCCCACAGGGGCCGCCCCCGCGCTGCCTGAACATATATTATATACACCGCAGAATTAGCTTACGCGGTTATGTTTCAAGTTTTAATAATTGAAAATGCTTGCCAGCCGTGCGCTGCATGTTGGGTATAAAGCAGATGTTGTATTTTTCTTGAAACTACATTCTTGTTGTTGTTGCTGTTTTTTTTTTCTTCTTTTTTCGCAGGATGACTTTATCTATAGCACGCTCAAAAAGGTAAGTACAACCGTACTTTATTTATTGACTATATCACTCGGAAGATACTGCTAGTCGTTATGTGGTCTATCGAGCGCATCAATAACGTTTATCCTATACGAAACAACGTGGAGTTCTCACAAAACACGCGCCGCGTTAACGGGACAAACTTGCCTCAAAAAGTCTTATAGTTTTATGGAGACTACAGTATTTCATGTCTTTTCTTTTTAACTTTTATTGCTCGAGCAATCAAATTTACCGCGAAATTGCGGAAGGATTACCTTAACATTGTTTACGAACAATCCGGCGTCGTTTGCGCGTGCTCAGAAACCAAATTCACGCGAAGGGAAGCGTCTGCGCATGCCCAGTGCCGACGGCAGCGCCACCTCAGTGGTGTAACATCAGGGCCGCGCGTTGGTGCAGAGTCCATGACAGCTGAGGGAAGGCAGGGTGTGTTGGCCTAAAGTAATTATGTTCACGCGTCTTGCTCCCCGATTAGTTCCTTGACGCTCTTATCGGCTCATGCTCCAATTTCATTGGGCGTGGGGCGTAGACCGTTTCGATGACTTTGTTAACGACACAACTCTGTAATAAGATTTTCGAAACTCTCCACACTCAGCAGTTTTTAAGCTCTCCGTTACTCTGCAGGTGGCACTAACTCAACTCACTGACGTCACGCTAATGTAGTGGCGCTGCTGCCGGTTCTGCGCATGCGCAGACGCTTCACTCCTCCCGATTTTGGTTTTTGCGCATGCGCAGTGCCCACACCTGGCGTGGGCAAACATGGGCTTGTTTGTAAACACTCTGTTGGTGTACAAAGCCGCGGGTCACGCTGCTCATGTGCATCAAGCAAGAGACACACGGTGTCCACTGCAGCCATGATGACATGCCTCACCTGCAGGCATGCCTCAAGCATCTCACAAGCATGTATGTTCCATACATGTACATGTATGCTTTGCACATATCTGCAGACAGTTTTTTTTTTTTTGTTTATGATTGATGTGACAGGACACAAGTAGGAAAAAAAGAGCGCAATTTCGGCAGGTTGTCTCTAGTATGATGTATTAAGCAGTGCGACCCCAACATTACTGTTGTATCTATATCTTTTATACTAGAGAGGTTATCAAATGCGTTTACAATTTCTAAACCTCCTTGCGTGACGTATTAACAAAAAAGTGAAACGCAGTGTTTTGAAAATTGATGTTCGTCACTGATATCACGTGTTTTTTTTCTATTTAGGACGGCGACTCGTTCTGCGAGTTCCGCAGATGGAGCAAAATTTGTCAGAAGCGTGAACCTGAAGGGACGTACGCTGTCAGATCCAACGCCTTGGTACAAGGCCGTTACAACCTCACCTCTCTCAACTGAATGCGTCCCCTGCACGTGCCGAGAAACTTTTAGGATCGGTGCGGTAAATAAAATGCACTCTGCGGCCATGAATTCCCTTGACTAACGCAGTTTTTTGACAGCGGCGCTGTTCAGAGCTAGCTTCCCCAGTTTCGTGTCCGTCACGAAATAAATGTCGACACAAAACTCTGGATAGCTACCGCCATCTATAGGCGACGGTTGCAACCAGACAACCGGTCTTCCGGTTGTCTGGTTGCCGTCCTCGCTCATAGATGGCGGAAACTTTTCCAGCCTTTCCACTCTGGTTTTCACCAGAGTGAAAAGGCTGAATTTCTCTAGGCGTCGTCCTAGAATTCGTCCTTGAGGTTGTCCAAGAAGTCGTCCTTGAGATAGTCCCACCATAGTAGAGCTTGGCTGGTCGTCCTTCTTCATCAGAGTAGAAAGGCTGAAAGTTTTTTTGTTTTTTTTTAATTTAGCGGTTGGCAGACTGATAAGGATGTCGCTACAACGCTCACGTTGGGCTGTCGACCGTTTCAATAGTCATCTTCAGCGCGCTGCCATCTTTCTCTTCTGGGCTGTGAAACGCGTTCTGTGCACGCGTAGTAGCCCTTCTCCGCGAGACACCATGACGTCGCGCACGCGACCAAAGCCCGGTGACTCTGCATTTTTCGCCTGGGCGGTAAGCATTGAAAAGGCGTATCTACGACGTATAAAATACACATGGCATGGACATGATGTCAACGCCCCGCCCCGGTGGTCGTTCTGGATCATTCCTATGCGGAGCGCCAATTCGTCTGCTTCGTGCGCAAGGGTTGCGTTGACCTCAGAACGTCAAGCTCTGATTGGCTCGATTGGAAGGATAGTTGGTAGACCGCAAGGCAGCTGTAGCATTGGGGTCTACCCACTATCCGTTTATCGGAGCCAATCAGAGCCCGGCGTTGTGACGTCACTGCAACCTCTGCGCAAGAGAGCAGACGCACTTGCGCAGAGTAAATCCGGTGGGGCGAAATGTGCGCCGCAGAAGGTACGCGCTCGGCACCAAGGCCGCCACAATGGGTGCTGCTGTGACGTCAATAAAAGTCGTGTATGCGAAGAGCGGCAGCCCAGGCCTCGAACAAAACAGATGTGTTTTGTTCAAGGCGTACCGAGCCTCGTACAAAACGCAACTGTCTTGTTCGAGGCATAGGCCTTGAACGCAATAGCCCCCAAAACACATGCCTGGCGACGCCACTACTGCGATGACTTCCATGTCTCCAGGCGATGGCACTATACGAATGGCGAGGCGGAAAATGATCCGCTCCGGCACTTTCTGACAACAAGGTCGTAAAAGTGAATGGGGTACCTTTTTGAAGCGGTTCGACCGCTTCAAAAGGGTGCCCGAGTACACGCAGCAGTGCGCATTTCCATTCGTTAGAATAGAAATATTGTTGGGACATAGTAACGTAGTACGGGACCTTCCTACGGGCCAACGCACTGTTTACAAACACACTCGCATTTACACACACACACATCTGTGAGCACTGCACTGCGCAGCAACCAGATTTGCGTGAGATGAAGCGTTCGCGCATACCGCTATCAGCGCCACCGCAAAAGCATGACGTCACAGTCGAGTGTTGGTCTATATTTATCATTCAATTAAATGCAAAGGTGCAGCGAGCTGGACAAGAGTGACGAAAATAATCCCTGGAGAAGGGGAACAAGAGGGACAAAGGACAAACACAAACTCCAAACACAGCTAAGGTGACTGGTGAGTGACCGAAAAAATCCACCTGGTCCGAGTATCGAACCCAGGACCTCTGCATTACAGGTGGAGCGCTTTACCAACCGAGTCTTTGTCCCTCTTGTTCCCCTTCTCCAGGGATTATTTTCGTCGTTGGTCTATATGTATGAATATGGTCTCCACGTTTAACTTTTCTTTCTTCCCGCATTTTGTTGTGTGGGCTGTTTTTCCGCGATGCCCGGACCTCGCGCTTGGCGGTTGATAAGGAGTTTCGCACAGCCGATGCTCACGTAGCACTAGCACCGAGCATTCGACCCGCTGTCGTCAGGAGTCACAGGGACCACGCCAGATAACAAAGCCACAGGCGAGCTCTAGAGATCCCTCTCCGGAGTCTCGCATTTGACCAGCAAGACTGGAACCATGAAGGCGGTTGCTCTGGCTGCGCTGCTAGCCTGCGGCCTGGTCTGCCTGGCGTCGGCCGACATCTGCGGTACGTCAGATTTCCATCACATTCGTTTCACTCTCAAGCGCAGAATGATAAACGAGAGTTACGTCGCTATCGAAGTAAAGGTGCCCTCCTGATCCCTTAAAGGAACAATGAAGGCAATTTTATTTAATTTTTTCAAATGGTGTTTTTAGGCTTCGTGGGAACATAGCATGCTGCCCAATTTTTTTGTAGACATTTGTGACGCGTATTTTTGTGCCTACGAAAGAAGAAACCGAAACTGAACAATCTCCATTCTCGTTTCTGGGCCTCCGAAAACGCAGGTGACGTAGGGAGTGACGTCAAGTGTGACAAAAGTCAAATTTGGGGGTTTTACGTGCCAAACCAACGACGGGCATCTGGCACGCGCCCCAGCGGAGGACTGAGGATTAATTTGGACCACCTGGGCATCTTTTGACGTGCAACCGAAAGCTCGGTTACACGGCGCCCTCTCCGCAATAAGCCTTCGTCAGATTGCGGGCACCTCGGCCGTGATACGACGTCAAGTGTGAATAGTCGGTATCGGTAGTATTTAGGAGATCGAGACTCTGGTTACCGCGGTGGGTTATATTAGCGCGGTGCCGCGGTCGTTTCGTCGAATCTGTCAACTATGGACGGCAATGCCGCTCTCGCGAGCGAGTTCGAGCTTCCGTTCAGTGACCTAATACAAACGGAACGGGAGTACGTGTGTGGCGGCCTCCGCCATCACCCGACGGAGACCGCCCAGCCGGCAACGAGCGGCCCGCATGCCGAAGGACAGGGACGCGGGGGAGATGCAGATGGGAAAGCAGCAGCGATCCGGCCGTTCCGGGAACCGGTTCCTTCGCAGGGACGCTCCCCAAGAAGGAGAAAATCAACAGCACCATTTTTGGTTTTCACCAAAGTCGAACGTCCTCTTTGCGTCGTCAAAGAACACGAACAGCAACCCCTACGTGAAAACTAGCGTCGCCCGAACGAATACTGGTCTTCCTTCAGTCGACCGTTAAAACAGCCATCTAAAGCGCACAAATTTGGAACGACTACCACTTTGCAGAATCCTTCGAGTACCGTGTTCTTTTTTTTTAATTTATTTATTTATTTATTTATTTTTTATTTTGTTTGCCCATAGTTGCTTGTTGCCCGTTTCGCGTCCAGCGTAGCAAAGAGAAAAACAATTATGCTGTTTTATTTACGGTTTAGTAATCATTTCCGGTCCGATTTATACTTTGCATGCTTATTCGAGCGGAAATTAGAACAGTATTCCTAAAAATCGCGAACCGAAACGTGACCGAGGGCACGTTTCTCGTTTCGACCTATCGCTGACGCGTCTCTTGTGACGTCGCGCTTCTTGGCCCCGCATCGGTCACGTGAGCTCCGCTTCTTCTGATTTCTCTCGCAACTTTCGGGGCGTCGCCCCAGTCGGTCCCGGTACGGTTATTACCGCGACTGTTTGATTGATTTTCGCGGCACACAAGCGCCGGTTTCGGCTGAAATTTCGGCAACGTGGCCTGAGACGTACCTGGAACCCAGTTCAATTGCCAAAAATATATTCGAAATTGCCTTCATCGTCCCTTTAAAGAGAAGCAGAAGAGGTCCTTGAATTGGAACAAAATGTGAAAGTTGTAATGTAGACACCTTAAAAATGGTGTGTCTCAAGTTTTCTTCCCATATTAACAAAGTGCGAGAGCGGAGAAAAAACTTCTCTCAAAAGTGACGTGATCAGCGGGCTTCTCGCCACTATAGTTGGGCCGGGGTTGCCGACGAGTACATCACGACGCTCTGGACAGACAACAGGCGGCACAGAGGGTCGCCTCATGTCCGGCGGCAATCCCTGCACGTATGGTCTTCACAATAAATGCGGTTTGCGTTTACTTCTGCCCAAGATAAGTGCGAAAACTGAATCCGCGGGAGAAAAAGTTATAGAAGTCCGCTTTTCACTCAGATTTCTTGAAAAGTGCTTCGGTTTCCCTTAGCTGCAGTCAAACTGCTTCATACCCCATACTAAAGATCTATGTCCGCTGCACCGCTGCACACATGAAAGGATTATTTGCGGGCCCGGCTCAAGCATAACTTGGAGGCACGCTTGCTTCATGCATGTGTATGTGCTTCGAGCATGTCGAAAGACGAAGTTTTTGTGTGGCCAATGTGACAAGACCGTCATACAAGGAAAAAAACATGCCTCCGACAGCGTCTCCAGACTGTCTCTTGTATGGTGTATATCTCGCGTCCAACTTTGTTTGGATCATGAAGCTAAAAAAATAGCGTTGCGAACCCACCGAAATTCAACTTCCTCGAAGTAACATAGTTCTTGGGATTTTAGTCTAAATAATTGGTCCTCTGGTATCCGTCAAAGTTGACCTGACGTCTCCCCTTCTCGGCGGGAGTTAATATTAGGCTTAGCATTGTTCTCTTTGTCCGTCTGTACTCTCTCTCTCTCTTTCTATTTTTCTTTCTTTCTTTCTTCTTTTTGTGTGTCCCGTGCGTTTGCTTCCATTTTCGTTCATTATCAGCGAGGGTAAGAGAGCCAGATCACACGAATTGTAGAGCGCTGGTGACGGGGATACGTTTCGGTTTCTTTGGCAGATGATGTTTATGACGATCCGGCCAAGGTGGAACGACTGTTTACGTGCGTAGAAGGGCACGCTTCCCCCGAGGTACGTAAGCCCTGCGTGAATAATTATACTACAAATCAATGCCGAAAATCAGGCTCATAAAAAAGAAGGAAAAAAATACTGTTTGCACCATCGGTATAGGGTGTAAGTTTTTGAAGCGAAAAGGTTAATATTATAAATAACAACACAGAAAATTATTGGTTGATTCTGATAGTTTAAAAACCATCACATAAGTGATGACGAATGTGAGAACATTGCATATTAGTGCTAATTCAACTATATTATCTATAATTATTTCAAAACATTGTCAGTTCTTCGTTGTTCTTTGACCGCTGTACAGCTCCTTAAAACAGAAAGCCACAATATTGCGTAAGATGGAAGTGAACTCCCGGAATGCGACACTCTTTAAAGGAGCGATGCAACAATTTTTGTACTTTGCGCAAATACCGCTTAAAACGGATCCGTAACGTTAATGACCCATGAAACACGCGTTCGTTTTTCACCCCACGCAACAGAAGTCCCAGAAAAAAATCAAAGAAAAACGAGCAGCGTTCACCCCCTCAACTCGCAGCCAGAACAAGCGGCCACGTGATCTGGAGCCGATTATATGCCGCCAGTGTTGATCATAGCCACGCGCTGGGGTTGCCAAAGCGCAGGACACGCGCTGAGTTCCAGACATTGTTATGGCTCGGCTGTTGTCGTCGTTGCAGCGATTGGACACGGGTCACTACCCGGATGCTTTTCGAGCTAGCAATTATCACGAGCCCAAGTCGAGTGCCCAGGCAATGCTCGGGTCCAATCTATGAACCGCATTCAAATATCGTCACTTGGGTGTACTGCGATCCCCGAGTTACGTCATCCAATTTTGCAAAGGAGAGGTTGAATGAAAATGATCGCTTTTGTCCTTGAAATTACACCGCAACAAAGGAGTTTTTGGCCAGTGCCGTTGCGTGTGAGTATCCTTGAGTCCCAGGTGTGCCAGTAAGCTCGTGTCAAGTGAAAAACATTCCAATTGAATATCGTTGCACCGCTCCTTTAATGTGTCACTCGCACTTTAAAGGCATTTTCCGGCACCTTATACACCTCGCCTATCTCACTATCACCGAATTCTGTAGAGGATAGTTCCGCGAAAAGTCTCGACATAACTTAAACGTCACTAAGAAAGACATCAAGTCTTCCGTGTAAGTTTATTGCTGAAATCCACATTTTTAAATATAGTTCGTTACGTTTTTTGTTTTCCTAAATAGGATGTTGTTGCACGCGTAAAATTTTTTGCTCCCTCGCCCGCTATAAAACAGTGTATAAAGGATGCAAAACCACTTTACTCTCGTTTCATCGAGTGTTTTCTATTTTACGTATACTGCGCGACACTGCAAGCGCCGACACGTCGCTTTTTGGCATTTTACTTGGAAAGGTATATACTGGCCGGCGGGCATCGAAATTATACACTTAGGTTAATATACTCCAACTGAGCACTTTCCACCACTCTGTTAGTTGTCATGGCAGTCCTTCAATACTGGAAGAAGAATAAAGAAAACAGGCGACGGCTTGTCTGTGCTAACTGCACCGCGGAGAAAAAATTTCGACTGTGTTGAAAAACCTCAGACCGTGTGCGCCTTCTATGCCGCCCACAGCTCAAGACCAAGCTGGAACAGTTGAAACGGCGCTACAATAACTACTACTGCTTCACTAGGGCCGGTTGCGTCAAGTTCCGCTTCGTAAGTACATTTCGCTCATTGCCGGCTTTATGCATGGTGCAGTGGCGTACCAACTTGTGTTTGAGTGGGGGGAAAACCAGACCCCCCCCCCCCCACCCAGGGCCGGGGGCGGTGCCCTTGGTATCCCTTGGGCACCGCCGGCCAGTGTTTGCCCTGCCCAGCGGCAGCTGTTTCAGTGGGGGGGGGGGGGGGGGGGGGGGGCGGGGGGGGGGGGGCAAAACACATGCCTTGCCCCCCCCCCCCCATTCTGAAAACGGGGGGGGGGGCCCCCTTGCCCCCCCCCCCCCCCCGTGTTGGTAGGCCCATGGCATGGTGTGTGACACGAACGCATGCACTGCCTGTATCACCCGCAAAGAAAGTGTCTAGGTTGTCTAAATGTCTCGCGCAGATGTGTTTTACCCATGTGCACTCAAGTGGTGTCTGTCTTTTTCTTTTTTTTTTTTCAGGACACGTTTATGCTCACTTATTTGGTGGTAAGTAGAAAACGTTTTCATAATTTAGCATCATTGATGATTGCAAATAGGAGGAACTGATTACCAATACGATTCGAAAATGCTATGAGCATTATGGCGAATTCGAAACTTTTTCTGCGCAGTGCTTTTACGAAATCGTTTTCCCCAGAGTGGGAAACCCGCTAAGCTTAAGCGAGCTTAGTGTTCGCTTCTAGGGGTTCTCAGGTTTGGTCAAAGTGCGTTCAAAATTTTGTGTTGTGAAATAAAAAGAAAGCCGACTATATTTCACAGTGATTTGTGCCACATGGTGTTACGTGCTGTGTTCTGTTGGTGATGCCTGGATGATAATCTGCTGTGAGAAAAATTTGGTCTATTAATATTTATTGTTTTAAATTTCGACGGTCTGCTGTGCGAATGGTTGCTAGCGCATCGACTTCACTATCTGAAACCCGATGAGTTGGCAACTATTTACAAACATCGGCATTCGTTTTGTTCTGTGAAAATCGACGCCGCACATGCTGCTAGTTGTTCTTCTTTCTTTCTTTTTTTTTTTTACGCGGTGTTTGTTAGAGACGTCATTTAATCACGTTGCGAGTATATATATGCTGCTAAATCGTCCACAGTACGCTGTATTCTTTTATCCATTTCTAATTTAATATTAATGTCGAGAAATTCTGCTTCCGTGACTGGCCCGAGAATGTCAGAGCGATGTGGTCTGAGCCCAGCAGTTGAGATTCGTTAAAAAGGATCCCGAGAAGCTCTCGCGGCAAGGAGGAAGCGATCTGTTGAATCAAAGTCAGAGGAGAGAGGCGACCACCTGAATTCGCCATTTGACACAGTGGGAGGAAGGTCAGGAAATATCGCTTTGCTCGGTCACGAATCCGAGGAACGTAAAACCGTTTCGTTGGGTTTCGGATAAAGCTACAAATAACTGCTGACAACGATGTTAACTAACAAAATGGCTCAGGTGTTATTGCACCGAAGCGTAGCCTATCTGGTGGCTTTATAGTTCGCCTGACTGTCCGCTTACAAATATCGCAAACGAAAAAAGCGCTAGTGAACTGGTAGACATATGAATACGTCGAACACTTTAAATTGAGCGGCGACTTGCGCCACCTATGGTCATTTTTGTTGAAGGACAGCACAGACTAGAGTATTTAAAAAGGAAGATGGCTTGCTCATGACGTCATCACATCATGCTGGTGGTAAGTCCGGTTCCTTTTTACCGAGGAAACCAAATTCGATGGTGCGAAATGCGCGCTGCAGAAAGTATGCGCTCGTCGCATTTTAGCGCGCCGCCGAGACGGCGTTTTGCGTAGAGAATTTCTCTAAACGTTCCGGTGCGTGTTTAACCTATAGCTTCTTCTTTTTTTTTTTTTTTTTTCCATTATCGGCGAGGTTGCTTGTTCCCACGGCGGGTCCATTGCCCGCAAGTCTTCTCCCTAACCCGAGGGCCGTTGCATCCAGACAGGCAAACCTACACAGCCAGCATAACTCCTAAGCGCACCTGTCAACGGGCAGGCCATTTCGTAAACTAGACGAATTGCCGTGGACGGGAGTCTCCCGAGGGAGACCGGGGATCGGGTTCCAGTGGTTGTGGGGGCTGACTGCGGAGGACCCGAGCGCGGCAGAGGTTTCCGCGCAGACGTAGACGCAACATCGGGTAAACCTCCCCAGGGGTGATCCCCGTTTTCTTGGAATCCGATGTGATATTTCGCCTCGCTTGTTTTCGCGAGACCCGTGTGGGTTTTGTCTGGCAAGTTCTCCGTTTATTTATTGGTTGTATCGTACCTAACGCTCACACTCCGTGGGACGGTTTTCCCCGTGAGGCACGTTCTGCAGCGTGCATGTCGCACCACTGAATTTGCTTTTCTCGGCATGGACGAGTAGGAATGACCCAAAAATGGCCACCAGCAAGAGGCGATAAGGTCACGTGCGAGGCACGTGAAGTGTCTTACGCTTTCCACCTGTCTCACACTTCTTTCCTTCTTCTTGTTCTCAGGACCCGGACTTGTACAGCGAGTTTAGCCAATGGCGCAACGTTTGTACGAAGGACAACACACTGCGTGGAAACGCCCTGCCCCTGCTTAACGCCGACCTCGAGTGCGACTCGGACACCGACACCCGCCGCGCTGCGGTGTTGTTCGGGTTGGGAGACAGGGAGCCGCCAACGGACAAACCCTTCAGATGGGTGCCGGGCGTTTTCGTCTGAGGGAGGAAATGAAATGGGGAAGGGAAAATAAGGGGGAAGAAAAATCGGGATTGACGAGGTACAAAAAGTATAACAGACTGAAACCGTCGAACTAAAGAGGACGAGGTACATTACGACTCCCTTGGGCTTGTACACTATAATAGGCCTCTGTATTTTCTGTAGAAAATTCTGGGGTCTTGAACCTCAGCCTAGGAGTGTGTTAGTCGGAGTGTTTGTGTGTGTGTGAATAAATCGCTACTTCACCCCACCTAGTGGCCGAATTATAGAGCTGTGAAAGGGTGTTGAAAAGAGTGTTACGCTGCAGGCCGCATTCGGTAAAGCCTTCGCATATACAATTAGAGTTTCCCTTCTTATTCTCTACTCAAGCCGCACTACCAACGAAAGAAGAAAACCTGCTGCTCGATGAATCCTTCCACCCCGAGGAGTCTAGAGGGAACGTTCAGGATGGGGCGTGGTACCACCACCGCCGGGTGCCCACGTTTCGAGGTACGAGTTCAGACAAAACCGTCGGCGGTGCGAGTCGCTGACTCGCGTGGTCACGCGGTCTCCGGGAATTCCGTCTGAGTGAGCGAAGGGCTTGTTTCTCCGCCGTCGACCTTTTCGGCTCGAAGCGAGGACAACGCTCGAGGAGCAGGGAGGTCCGAATCGCAGATGCGACAGCGTCACGTGATGAAAAAAGTGCGGTGGAAGTTTCCGCAAGCCACGTAATCGATTACAAGTAGTTTGATTATTTGTAGTTAGTATCGTACAAGTTTGCCACAAACCTCAAAGGTCGAGGAACATGGAGCTCCGAACTACAAATGAGACGGCGTCACGTGGTTCAAAGTGTGGCGGAAGTGCCTTGCCGGATAGCTAGCCCCTCTTTCTCATTCGACCTCCCTCTTTCCGCCGATTGGTTCGTGGGGGTTTCTTCTCTCCATCTACGCATTCCCACTCTCTCTCTCTCTCTCTCTCTCGCTAGAGTGACGCACTACCGCCGCACTTTTTGTTCTCGTGGTGTGGGCAGAGCTTGAGCGCGCCGGTTCCCGTGATCTAACCTTGTTGGTGATCGCGAGGTTCCTTGTCCCCTCGTCCGTGACCTTGGCGCCGGTTCACTTCGTGGAGGTCTTCTGAAAAAACCGCTCGCTGATTCGTACCCCGCTCGGATTCCAATGGGCGGGTCAAGTCCGCTCCGCGATTGTTAACCATTAGTCATCAGCCATTGGTCCGAACGAATCGGCGTGTGCATTCAGGGTGCCGCTCTGTGCTGGATCTGTCTGACAGCCTTGTTGTTTTTTCAGACAGCATTTGGCCGACCTTGACCGCACTACTATAGTGAAAGAAATATATACAGGGTGTTTGATTTTAGTTCCCGCAGATTCATTTCGAAAGAGCCGGCGAAAGAGAAACTAATGCGGTCCTTGCGGGTGAGTTATACGGCAAGGGGGATATAATGTAAGGGAATAATTATCGCGATAAGCTGTAGAATTGACTCAAATTTAATAATGAACGTTTTTAATTAGTGGAAATAAACATAAGGTTCTAATTATAAGCTTGCTGGGTGTCATCTGAAACTACTAAATCCCTTGCGCATTGCACCAGTAAATTTTTGACATATTTTAAGCGCGTGGTAAACGTGCACGGTTGCGCTAAAGATTTTACTAGTGCAACGGAAGTGACGCTGGTTATTATCCGCGTTTTCGAACCCCCAGCGTTGCGCCCGTTACACGAGCGTAAACTTTAGCGCATCCCCACACTTACCACGTGCTTAAAATCTGTCTTAAAATTGACTGATTTGGTGAGGTCAGATGACACCCAGCAAAGTTTCTAATTGAACCGCACGTTTATTTTCAATAATTAAAACTTAATTAACAAAATTCAGTTAATTATTCGAGTAAGTATGAGGACTGTTCTCTTATCTTATGTACCCCTGGCCGTATAACTCACCTGCACAGGCAGTGTTAATCTATCTTTCACGGATTTGTTTTTAACAATCCCGTTCATTTTAAAATTTAAACAGCCTGTATAAATATGCTCAACAGATACAAAGACACCGTTGAAAGTTGGGCGAGTTGGTTATGCATAGTTATGAAGAGGGAAACAGAGCCAAAAGTACGGAGGCCAAAGAACGAGGTCTGTGTCTTCCTCGTTCTTTGTCCTCCGTACTTTTGACGCTGTTTCCCTCTTGATACAAAAACATATGAGCTAATATAAGCACCTTACATACAACCTGAAATTTTTGTCTTGTATGTTGTAATACGTTTTTTTCTTTCAAAAAAGTAAGTTTTTTTAGTTGTAATACGCTTTAGAGAAACGTATATATATTCCCTTTCCTTCAGGGCGAACAAAAGTAGGATTCCAGCTTTTTACGAAGTTCAGAATGCCACAAAATGTGGAAAATTTTATGTGCACGGGGACAGCGAACATGATTGTTTCCCTCGCGCATTGCACCTGCGCGCATCGCATTTCTGGGGTTTAATCGTATTTCGAGCTTCGCCATTCGCTCGCCGTGATTGGCTGTCATCGTGTTCTGCGGGAAGGTAAACGAGCAGTTTCTTAGTCTATTTTCTTCCGCAACATACGGACTGCACGAGACCCATTCCCTTCATTTCAAAATTTAAAAAGCATGACTAATAAGGGCGGTTTTTGGGAAACTGGCGGATGCTGGCGACCGTTCACCAGGCAAAAGTGACCCCCACTTGGCTACCGCCATGTTTAACAATTTTGATCCCTATACAGGTTTTTGCAGCTCTGCGATCGCCCCTGACCAGCTCCGCAATCTTCGCCCCTTTGTGGGAACGTTCACCTTACAAGGACACGGACCGGTAGGGCTACCAGTGGATACAATTCTTACCCCGGTCAGTCGTTTGTTCTTCGAGACCTGGGACTTTTCTTCCTGGCCGTGGGGTAAAAAGCTAACCCTAACGCTTCGAAGGCCGCCGATACGGATCGGGGCTACGGCTCCATGGAACTGAACACGGGAAATGGGCCGAACAGTAAGGCCAGTCAGCCACCGCAAACCAAGGGACCCGAAGCTCAGGCGGGAACTGCAAAGGAAAACGCCGAAACTTCGAGAACTGCCACGTCCACCGAGCAAGTCCGAAACTATAGCCAGCAAGATGTCTCTGGAGACGTACAGGACATACCAGTACTAGCACATGAGGGGGATCCCAATTTCTCTTGGACCGACGTTGTCGGGAAGAGCACTAAAAAGAAGCGGGCCCGCGCCGAAAGACTACAGGGCAACGACCCAAGTACGCCAAATCGGCAAACCGAACACAACAAAATGGCGACCGGCAAGGGCGATGGCGGGAAAGATGGCGGCCCTCCAGCGATTCCCACCTCGACCTACAGGAATGGAGGCCACCGAAAATCGAAACCCAGGAAAGAACTTCTACCTCCGCTTCCGCTGGATCACTACAAAGTAGTGATAAGACCCCAAGAAGGACTCACCGTCTCGAATTGGTCCGCTCTCGAAATATCGAAAGCCATAACCACCGCAGCCAAACTAAGTCTCGAGGAGCTTGCAAAATCCCGGGTCCGGATTCGAAAGGAGCAGAATATCATCGTCCTGAGTACGCCCGACATCGACCCGGCGAACCGAATGGCCAAAGCAAAGACCATCACGCTCAAAGACCGACAATACGAAATAGCTGCGTACAAAGCTGCCCCCGACAACTCCTGCAAAGGAGTCATCTCCGGCATAGGCGAGAAATATGCGCCCGAGTACCTCACTGAAAACATCCGAGCAATTAGCCCAACGGGTCCCGCCGTTTTCTACGCCAGGATGATGGGGCAGAAGGACTCCGTTATCATCACCTTCCAGGGACTCCAGGTTCCTCGACTCGTCCTCCTGGGCAACGCGGAATACCGTTGTCGCCCCTATCTACCTAAGGAGCAGGTCTGCGATGCCTGCCTCGGCCACGGACATAGGAAAGACGTCTGTCCGCATCCCGAAAAAGGCAGATGTGCGACTTGCGGTTGCCTCGGAGGAGCCATGGAGGATCACGTTTGCTCTCCTCACTGTATACATTGCGAAGGGAACCACCCCTCCAACGATCCGCAATGCCCAGCACGACGGAAGGCGCCGTACAACAAGGCCTGGATTCAAAAACAACAAACACAAAAGGGAAATATGCAACATACGGAGACCTCCAACACTCAGAACATCCGACCCGATACCACCTCGCAACGAAGAGAACTCCTACCACCGACAAGGAACTCTGAAGCCCACTGGCCGGCACTGGGAGCCGGGGGATTCGAGACTCCGAACCCATACGCTCTCATAGCCTCGGGACTAGAAAGTTACGCTCGAACTCTAGCCCAAGCTCCGCACGCAACGCAAGGACGCATCGTTGACCCGATGGACACGGGACTGTCGGGCGGGAACCGAGGACGTTCCCGGTCCAGGAAAAAGTCCCAAGTCAAGAGCCAGCAACAGTCGCAGGAGCTGCCCCACCTATTGCAGCAGCAGCAGGGGGGAAGCCACCGGCAGGGCCCCTCAGGACTCACCGCTGTCAATACTCAGGTGAGCTGGGACGAACGGCCTCCCAACCCCCCCACTCCCGCTCCCCGAAATTCCTTCTCTTCAACCTCCCAAATTCCTCCTGCCCCGGTAGTACTCGGTGACTCGGAAACTCCTCGTCCGCCGCCCGCCAAACGCGCCGCGCTCGACTCTCCGCCCGAGAAAGACGATCTTGAGAATCGTTTAGAAAAATACATGCACCAAATCCTTGATCATACTCGAAAAGAGATGCAGTGCAGACTCGAAGCCTTCGAAAAGCACATTGAGGCAAAATTTCAAAGGCAGATCGAAGCCCTTAGTGCCCAACTAAACAGCATGATAAGAAACGAAATCCAAGCGCTGGTGCATCGTCTTCAATCACGTTTCGGCGGTCCTTGTCCAAATAGGTGCGAGGGCCCTCAATGCCCCTACCCCCCGGCCGGGTCAGGAGGCTATGCCGGGCCTAGACCAGAGCCAATTGCCGACGGACCCTCCGTAGATCCGAGACTCCAGCCAAACTCTGAAAGCCCCCCTCCCCCGCCTGATCAAAACATAATCAACCAACAGCACTTCCAGCAAGACCCTGCACCGCAACTGACTCAAATTCTTAATCTTCAGCATGGACAGGGCAGCCCCCAGTAGATCCGATCAGGCAACTTCTAAAACCGCGCGAACCGGTGCGGCTCGGGTGTGGCAGTGGAACTGTAGGGGGTACCGCCGCAAACGCGGGGCCCTTACACAGTTTCTCGCCACACAAGAGCAGCTGCCGGATGCTATAGCCTTACAGGAAGCGGGCTG